GCATTTCATTTCCCTTATTTTTCAAGGAAAAAGCTGTACTCAACTACATTGCTATAATTTCTATAAGAAGTTATACCAAGGTCAGGTTTAAGGACAGGAGGCAGAACTAGACCTCTCAAGAGTTCCTCTTTTTGAGATATGTTGATAATTTTTAGTCATAAAAGTATATGTCTCTCACTTAAATTTGTTACCCCCTCACTTTTATTACTCAAAGTTATTTAAATAAGAAGTAAAGAGCCATAAAAAGAGATTATAGAAAGTTTTGACAATAATCCCAGACACCCAGCATTTTAAGATTTTGTATATATAATTTTTCACTCCCTATATTTCTGGTTTTTACCACACCCATTAAATGTTCTGTTTGGGTCTTGGCAGATTGAAAGTAATTACCAGAGCTAACATGTGACTAAGCAAGATATGAATGAGTTACTTTGGTAACTTTTACATAATACAAATTACCAGCAGCTATGCTATTAGAGCATAGAAGTTTCCCAGAGCCCCCAACAAAATCTAAACAAAATTCAGCACATTTTGTTCTTCCCTCACACCAAGATTTCATTTCCAAATGTCACAACACCACCATCTTAAACAGCTGATTCCTTTGGCAGCAGCTTTACATGGGGGGAGAGAGAGGGGGAAAGGCCTTGTTATACTAATATAATAGAAAGTTTAAAGTAATAACAGTGGCATTTGACAAGTGAGTAATGATGAGTGACCCAAACTAGTCCCTTTCATAAGGGAAACAATGGACAGCTTTGCTGCAAAGGTTATGAGGAGGACTCAGTAAGGTTTATTTATATTTAAGGTATCATCCAGACATCCAAAGTACAGCTGGAGCTGTTTTGTGCTAGGTGTAGTACAAGAAGAACATAACGAGACAGACTGTCCCAGGAGCTTGCTTTCTAACTTGGGAGGAGGAAATTAAGGTTTTGGTGTACACCTGAACTTCTACTTCCTAACACCCATTTGCTACATTCCTACATGCCTTGTTATCTACCACTGCATCCAGCAGCAATGTATATCTTTATAAGGTGAATGCCTTTCTTCACTTAATCACCAAGGTAAAAGATTTATACAATCTGAAAATAAACCAGTGCATGAATACTGATGTAAAACAATCACTGTAGACTTCAGAGTTAAACTCCATAGTGAGCTGAATGGGGCTGTTCAGACAACTCAGAACTGTCATTTTCAAATGCCCTGCAGACAGACTTAAAAGACCACGTTTCACACCACTTTTTTGCAACTTGAAAGTGACTGAAACGTACATTTTTACTGTTAATCAAGTTTCATTTCGGAAGTTCAGTTCTGTTGCAAAATTATTTACTGGGAGATCTCAGAATACAAGAAGTCATGGTCTAGATACTGGGAAAGAACTGATCTCTGTCAAATATATAACATTACAAGGAGATGCCTAGCAAGTAAAAGGAGTTCACTGCCAGCAAGACCACTGTTGTTTATGGATATGGAGGCTCCTGACTAGGAATGTGTAACGGGTGTCTGCAGATAAAAGATATTGTTAATTTAAATATTAGTTAAGTACAGAATTTCTTTTCCCTGATCTACGGTGAGGGACAAAAAGAGTTCTACAAGTTAGTCCCTCTCAAGAAAGCTTCAAAGACAAGAGCATTGATGTGGCATTTCTTCTCTTGGCAAACAGTAAGGAATATTTATTTTGAGAAGAAGAGCTTGCCAGCAAGTTACTGGGGAGAAGCCTGGCAGATACAGTTCAGAAGATTCAGACTACTGAGTCATACAAAGACTCCCTGTCTTTCCCCACTGGATTGCGCTTGCCTAACTTGGCTAAACCATAAATACACAGGTAATGGAATTTCTGCCTTTACACATCTATTTTCTTTTACTTTCTGGCTCTGGATCACCAGAACTGCATTATATTATAGCTGGCTTATTTTGGTTTTTCCTTTCTTAATATTTTTTTTGCCTACAATAATCTGTTGTATGGATGAACACTGGCTACTAATTACTACAACCCTAAAAACACCGTTTCGATTTTACAGTTATGTTTGGTACCCCTTTTGGGCTTCTCCTTACTTCTATAAGCAATGGATAATTATGGCATAAAAAGAGAATTATATATAATCAACAGGGTAGGCAAAATATAATAGTATTCTTTCATCAATACCCACTTCAAACTGTTGAAAACAATTATTGTTGGTGAAAGCCAACAACAGGTATCATAGAAGATGTATTCAGTAAAGCTTTTTTTAAAAGAATTTTAAACATGTTAAATCTTCCATTTTACAGTCTGAAGCTAACTTTGTGTTTCCCTTTAAAATCTAGTTCTAAAAACAATTCTGTCCATTGGGGTTGGGACTAATTACTTTACAGATTTGGCAATCACTGCAGTTCTTTCTTTTCATGCATATAAATATTTCTTCAAAAGATATCAAATACATTTGTAAATATTACCATGTAAATTTAACTGTTGAGTAAGACATAGGTAAGAAGTGACATGCCCATCTAAGAACATGGATATTTTCAGATTAGAGGACTCATCAAATGCAGTAACCAGCTAACTCTGGGGCTGGCCTGTATCAAATGGTTCAGGTTAAAAAATTCCTGAACTTTTGGAAAGTAAGAACGTTCTCCAAAGGCAGCTACTCTAAATCAGTGGTTAGAGGTTGGCTTATACTTCAAGTAAGAAGGTTTAAAATTAAAGACAGAGGCATGTGTCCATGGTAAATCAGCAAACAAGTTGGAGAGCCAGAGACAGATTCTAGGGGTAAAATCCTGGACGCACTGAATTAAAAGGCAGAATGCCTCTGATTTCAATAAGACCAGGGTATCAGCCCAAGACATGCAACTCCTGGTCACCATCAGTAAGTAGGCAGTAACTCCTCCCACTCCCAGCGAGGACTGTAGCCCAACCAGTGCAGTCAGCTTTAATCATTGGTAGTAATTTGAGGTTTCTACAGTGCCAGTTTTGAGTAATAGAGAATCACAGAGAAGTAGGGCTGAAAGGGTCTTCCAGAGGTCATCCAGTTCAATCCCCTGCCTAAGGCAGAATCATCCCTATGACAACCATCCCATAAAACCATAATCTAAACTCTACATAAGACTTCTGTCAACCCTGACACACCACAGACCTAACACCCTAACATGCCCAGGTAAAGCAGGGGAACCACAGCAGCCAACATCCTGCTTCTGTGAAATGTTGTCAGTATAAGCCCAAGAGGTCCCAGGTAGATGGCCAGACCCCTGCTACAGAGGAAGGCCAATATGGCCCCAGAGTCCATTCCAATATGACTGTCCAACTTCTTCTTGAACACCTCCATTGATGGAGAGTCCACAACTACCCTAGGCAGCCTATTCCACTGCCTCACTATTTTCACAGTGCAGGATTTTTTCCAGATATCCAATCTAAATACATACCTCACTTCCTGCAAAGCTAGTGTTCTTTTGCTGATTTAGTTTTTGCGCTGAGTTTGAGTTCAAAGAAAGTCAGAAGAGAGGAATTACAACATCAGGACAAGGGAGTAACATCAAGATGTCTACAGTGATTTTTCTTCTGCAATATCAGAACTACTTGTCCTGTTATTGGGAGTGAAGACTTCTTTTCCTAAAATTACTCTTTTCCCATTAGAAAATGCTCTAAGATGTTTTAAAAGCTGTTTTGATTTATTAGAGTTCATAAACACTGTATCATTCATTCTCCACTACTTTTCAATGATGGTACTCTGACCCACAACAAATAATATAATGTGTATAATAAAATAATATCAAACCTTATTATAGCTGAATAATACTGCATACCTTCCCCAAATCACAGAATTAATCTTTGCAAAAATTATAAATAAATGGCATACATTAAAATTAGGTTTAAAATATATACTTGTATTAGATCATGATAACAGTAGAATGTACTTCAAACTTCCTATTTATTTAAAACTTGCCAAAATCCTTCTAATGCCTGTTGATAGCACCCATTCACCCTTTCCCTAAAAGGAGCAAGACTTTTAACTGAAAACTTGGACCCCCTGAAGTCAACAGCTTAATTCCTATTGACTTCAAAATGGCCAGGTTTTCACCCCTGTTTTTACCTCTGACCACTTAAGGAATTGCTACACTTGTATACAAAGACATGCTATGATGGAACTGAATCTTGTTCGTCTGG